GTACGAAAATATGACACAACAAACAAGCATGCCATAGGGTCCCCTGGGACCCCTAGGAAGGTCTCTGGGGGCACTAACGTCCCTGAAAAGGTCTCTGGAGGTGTGGATGCACCTGGGAGTGTCCTTTGAGGTGCCACCATCTCCGGGATGGTCCCTGGAGGCTCTGCTGCCCCTGCAATGGTCCCTTGGCACTCCTCTTCCAATTGGAGTGACTCTAGGTGCACCACCGCCCTTGGGAGGGTCCCTGGGGGCGCCACCGAACCTGGGAGAGTTTCCAGTGCACCACCGCTCCAGGAACGGTTTCTGGGATGGTCCTTGGGGACTGTCCTGCCCCTGGGAAGGTCCTTACAGGCTCCACTGCTCCAGTCAGGGTCCCTGGGGAGCCGTCGCTCCTAAGAATGCACCTGAGGATGCCACTGATGTTGCGAGGTGCCCTTGGGGGCACCGTCACCACTGGGTGGCGCCGTGGGGGCATCGCGGCACCTGGGAGGGTTCCTGATATGTACACCACCCCTGAGATAGACCCTGGGAGCGCCAGGCCTGTAGGACCCATCACATTTACACCAGTATCATCGCATTCTGAAGCAGGTAACGGAGAATAATATCAACAGGAAAACATAAGTTGAGGTGTTGTGCTGACTGACTGCTGTCTTCTCCTATTGGCTGTAATTTGGCGGGATAAAAGTCCACCAATCATAGTTAAGTAAGGGACTTCGGGAAGTGTGTAATGTACGAAAATATGACACAACAAACAAGCATGCCATAGGGCCCCCTGGAACCCCTAGGAAGGTCTCTGGGGGCACTAACGTCCCTGGAAAGGTCTCTGAGGGTGTGGATGCCCCTGGGAGTGTCCTTTGAGGTGCCGCCGTCCCTGGGAGGGGCTCTGGGATGGTCCCTGGAGGCTCTGCTGCCACTGGAATGGTCCCTGTGCATTCCTCTTCTAATGAAAGGGACCCGAGGTGCACCACCGACCCTGGGAGGGACCCCTGGGGGCGCCACCGACCCTGGGAGGGTTCTCGGTGAGCTACTGACCCCTGAAACGGTCTGTGGGATGGTCTCTGGGGGCTGCGCTGCCCCTGGGTAGGTCCCTGCAGGCTCCGCTGCTCCAGTCAGGGTCCCAGGGGTGCCGTCGCTCTTGAGGATGCACCTGAGGATGCCACTGTTGTTGCAAGGGCCCCTGGGGGTACCGTCACCACTGGGGGGCACCCTAGGGGCGTCGCGGCACCTGGGAGGGTTCCTGATATGTCCACAACCCCTGAGATGTCCTCTGGGAGCCCAAGGTTTTTAGGACCCATGGGTTTAGTAGTTTATGCTCAATTTATTTCTCTGGGAGATGCAACGTAAAATAAATACACCGCCCATCACATTTCCACCAGTATCATCGCATTTTGAAGAAGGTAACGGCGAATAATATCAACAGGAAAACATAAGTTGGGGTGTTGTGCTGACCGACTGCTCTCTCCTCCTGTTGGCTGTAATTTGGCGGGTTAAAAGTCCACCAATCATAGTTAAGTAAGGGACTTCGGGAAGTATGTACTGTAAGAAAATATGACACAACAAACAGTAATGCCATAGAGCCCCCTGAGACCTCTAGGAAGGTCTCTGGGACCAATAACGTCCCTGGAAAGGTCTCTCGGGGTGTGGATGCCCCTGGGAGTGAGCTTTGAGGTGCCACCATCTCTGGGAGGGTCTCTGGGATGGTCCCTGGAGGCTCTGCTGCCACTGGAATGGTCCCTGTGCATTCCTCTTCCAATGAGAGGGACCCCAGATGCACCACCGCCCCTGGGAGGGTCCCTGGGGGCGCCACCGACCCTGGGAGGGTTTCCAGTGCACCACTGCCCCTGGAACGGTTTCTGGGATGGTCGCTGGAGGCTGCGCTGCCCCTGGGTAGGTCCCTGCAGGCTCCGCTGCTCCAGTCAGGGTCCCTGGGGTACCGTCGCTCCTAAGAATGCACCTGAGTATGCCACTGATGTTGCGAGGGCCCCTAGGGGCACCGTCAACACTGGGGGGCACCCTGGGGGCGTCGCGGCACCTGGGAGGGTTCCTGATATGTCCACCACCCCTGAGATAGTCCCTGGGAGCGCCAGGCCTGTAGGACCTATGGGTGCAGTAGTTTATGCTCAATTTATTACTCTGGGAGATGCAACGTTAAATAAATACACAGCCCGTCACATTTCCACCAGTATCATCGCATTTTGAAGAAGGTAACGGAGAATAATATCAACAGGTAAACATAAGTTGAGGCGTTGTGCTGACTGACTGCTCTCTTCTCCTAATGCCTGTAATTTGTCGGGTTAAAAGTCCACCAATCATAGTTAAGTAAGGGACTTCGGGAAGTGTGTAATGTACGAAAATATGACACAACAAACAAGCATGCCATAGGGTCCCCTGGGACCCCTAGGAAGGTCTCTGGGGGCACTAACGTCCCTGAAAAGGTCTCTGGAGGTGTGGATGCACCTGGGAGTGTCCTTTGAGGTGCCACCATCTCCGGGATGGTCCCTGGAGGCTCTGCTGCCCCTGCAATGGTCCCTTGGCACTCCTCTTCCAATTGGAGTGACTCTAGGTGCACCACCGCCCTTGGGAGGGTCCCTGGGGGCGCCACCGAACCTGGGAGAGTTTCCAGTGCACCACTGCTCCAGGAACGGTTTCTGGGATGGTCCTTGGGGACTGTCCTGCCCCTGGGAAGGTCCTTACAGGCTCCACTGCTCCAGTCAGGGTCCCTGGGGAGCCGTCGCTCCTAAGAATGCACCTGAGGATGCCACTGATGTTGCGAGGTGCCCTTGGGGGCACCGTCACCACTGGGTGGCGCCGTGGGGGCATCGCGGCACCTGGGAGGGTTCCTGATATGTACACCACCCCTGAGATAGACCCTGGGAGCGCAAGGCCTGTAGGACCCATCACATTTCCACCAGTATCATCGCATTCTGAAGCAGGTAACGGAGAATAATATCAACAGGAAAACATAAGTTGAGGTGTTGTGCTGACTGACTGCTGTCTTCTCCTATTGGCTGTAATTTGGCGGGATAAAAGTCCACCAATCATAGTTAAGTAAGGGACTTCGGGAAGTGTGTAATGTACGAAAATATGACACAACAAACAAGCATGCCATAGGGCCCCCTGGAACCCCTAGGAAGGTCTCTGGGGGCACTAACGTCCCTGGAAAGGTCTCTGAGGGTGTGGATGCCCCTGGGAGTGTCCTTTGAGGTGCCGCCGTCCCTGGGAGGGGCTCTGGGATGGTCCCTGGAGGCTCTGCTGCCACTGGAATGGTCCCTGTGCATTCCTCTTCTAATGAAAGGGACCCCAGGTGCACCACCGACCCTGGGAGGGACCCCTGGGGGCGCCACCGACCCTGGGAGGGTTCTCGGTGAGCTACTGACCCCTGAAACGGTCTGTGGGATGGTCTCTGGGGGCTGCGCTGCCCCTGGGTAGGTCCCTGCAGGCTCCGCTGCTCCAGTCAGGGTCCCAGGGGTGCCGTCGCTCTTGAGGATGCACCTGAGGATGCCACTGTTGTTGCAAGGGCCCCTGGGGGTACCGTCACCACTGGGGGGCACCCTAGGGGCGTCGCGGCACCTGGGAGGGTTCCTGATATGTCCACAACCCCTGAGATGTCCTCTGGGAGCCCAAGGTTTTTAGGACCCATGGGTTTAGTAGTTTATGCTCAATTTATTTCTCTGGCAGCTGCAACGTTAAATAAATACACCGCCCATCACATTTCCACCAGTATCATCGCATTTTGAAGAAGGTAACGGCGAATAATATCAACAGGAAAACATAAGTTGGGGTGTTGTGCTGACCGACTGCTCTCTCCTCCTGTAGGCTGTAATTTGGCGGGTTAAAAGTCCACCAATCATAGTTAAGTAAGGGACTTCGGGAAGTATGTAATGTAAGAAAATATGACACAACAAACAGTAATGCCATAGAGCCCCCTGGGACCTCTAGGAAGGTCTCTGGGACCAATAACGTCCCTGGAAAGGTCTCTCGGGGTGTGGATGCCCCTGGGAGTGTGCTTTGAGGTGCTGCCGTCTCTGGGAGGGTCTCTGGGATGGTCCCCGAACGCTCTGCTGCCACTGGAATGGTCCCTGTGCATTCCTCTTCCAATGAGAGGGACCCAGGTGCACCCCCGCCCCTGGGAGGGTCCCTGGGGGCGCCACCGACCCTGGGAGGGTTTCCAGTGCACCACTGCCCCTGCAACGGTTTCTGGGATGGTCGCTGGAGGCTGCGCTGCCCCTGGGTAGGTCCCTGCAGGCTCCGCTGCTCCAGTCAGGGTCCCTGGGGTACCGTCGCTCCTAAGAATGCACCTGAGTATGCCACTGATGTTGCGAGGGCCCCTGGGGGCACCGTCACCACTGGGTGGCACCGTGGGGGCGTCGCGGCACCTGGGAGGGTTCCTGATATGTACACCACCCCTGAGATAGACCCTGGGATCGCCAGGCCTGTAGGACACATGGGTGCAGTAGTTTATGCTCAATTTATTACTCTGGGAGATGATGCAACGTTAAATAAAATACACCGCCCATCACATTTCCACCAGTATCATCGCATTCTGAAGCAGGTAACGGAGAATAATATCAACAGGAAAACATAAGTTGAGGTGTTGTGGTGACTGACTGCTCTCTTCTCCTATTGGCTGTAATTTGGCGGGTTAAAAGTCCACCAATCATAGTTAAGTAAGGGACTTCGGGAAGTATGTAATGTAGGAAAATATGACACAACAACCAAGCATGCCATAGGGCCCCCTGAAACCCCTAGGAAGGTCTCTGGGGGCACTAACGTCCCTGGAAAGGTCTCTGAGGGTGTGGATGCCCCTAGGAGTGTCCTTTGAGGTGCCGCCGTCCCTGGGAGGGGCTCTGGGATGGTCCCTGGAGGCTCTGCTGCCACTGGAATGGTCCCTGTGCATTCCTCTTCTAATGAAAGGGACTCCAGGTTCACCACCGACCCTGGGAGGGACCCCTGGGGGCGCCACCGACCCTGGGAGGGTTCTCGGTGAGCTACTCCCCCTGAAACGGTCTCTGGGATGGTCCCTGTGGGCTGCGCTGCCCCTGGGTAGGGACCTGCAGGCTCCGCTGCTCCAGTCAGGGCCCCAGGGGTGCCGTCGCTCCTGAGAAGGCACCTGAGGATGCCACTGATGTTGCAAGGGCCCCTGGGGGTACCGTCACCACTGGGGGGCACCCTAGGGGCGTCGCGGCACCTGGGAGGGTTCCTCATATGTCCACAACCCCTGAGATGTTCTCTGGGAGCCCAAGGTTTTTAGGACCCATGGGTTTAGTAGTTTATGCTCAATTTATTTCTCTGGCAGATGCAACGTTAAATAAATACACCGCCCATCACATTTCCACCAGTATCATCGCATTTTGAAGAAGGTAACGGCGAATAATATCAACAGGAAAACATAAGTTGGGGTGTTGTGCTGACCGACTGCTCTCTCCTCCTGTTGGCTGTAATTTGGCGGGTTAAAAGTCCACCAATCATAGTTAAGTAAGGGACTTCGGGAAGTATGTAATGTAAGAAAATATGACACAACAAACAGTAATGCCATAGGACCCCCTGGGACCTCTAGGAAGGTCTCTGGGACCAATAACGTCCCTGGAAAGGTCTCTGGAGGTGTGGATGCACCTGGGAGTGTCCTTTGAGGTGCCGCCATCTCCGGGATGGTCCCTGGAGGCTCTGCTGCCCCTGCAATGGTCCCTTGGCACTCCTCTTCCAATGGGAGTGACTCTAGGTGCACCACCGCCCTTGGGAGGGTCCCTGGGGGCGCCACCGAACTTGGGAGAGTTTCCAGTGCACCACTGCTCCAGGAACGGTTTCTGGGATGGTCCTTGGGGACTGTGCTGCCCCTGGGAAGGTCCCTACAGGCTCCACTTCTCCAGTCAGGGTCCCTGGGGAGCCGTCGCTCCTAAAAATGCACCTGAGGATGCCACTGATGTTGCGAGGTGCCCTTGGGGGCACCGTCACCACTGGGTGGCACCGTGGGGGCGTCGCGGCACCTGGGAGGGTTCCTGATATGTACACCACCCCTGAGATAGACCCTGAGAGCGCCAGGCCTGTAGGACCCATGGGTGCAGTAGTTTATGCTCAATTTATTACTCTGGGAGATGCAACGTTAAATAAAATACAACGCCCATCACATTTCCACCAGTATCATCGCATTCTGAAGCAGGTAACGGAGAATAATATCAACAGGAAAACATAAGTTGAGGTGTTGTGCTGACTGACTGCTCTCTTCTCCTATTGGCTGTAATTTGTCGGGTTAAAAGTCCACCAATCATAGTTAAGTAAGGGACTTCGGGAAGTGTGTAATGTACGAAAATATGACACAACAAACAAGCATGCCATAGGGTCCCCTGGGACCCCTAGGAAGATCTCTGGGGGCACTAACGTCCCTGAAAAGGTCTCTGGAGGTGTGGATGCACCTGGGAGTGTCCTTTGAGGTGCCGCCATCTCCGGGATGGTCCCTGGAGGCTCTGCTGCCCCTGCAATGGTCCCTTGGCACTCCTCTTCCAATGGGAGTGACTCTAGGTGCACCACCGCCCTTGGGAGGGTCCCTGGGGGCGCCACCGAACTTGGGAGAGTTTCCAGTGCACCACTGCTCCAGGAACGGTTTCTGGGATGGTCCTTGGGGACTGTGCTGCCCCTGGGAAGGTCCCTACAGGCTCCACTTCTCCAGTCAGGGTCCCTGGGGAGCCGTCGCTCCTAAGAATGCACCTGAGGATGCCACTGATGTTGCGAGGTGCCCTTGGGGGCACCGTCACCACTGGGTGGCACCGTGGGGGCGTCGCGGCACCTGGGAGGGTTCCTGATATGTACACCACCCCTGAGATAGACCCTGGGATCGCCAGGCCTGTAGGACACATGGGTGCAGTAGTTTATGCTCAATTTATTACTCTGGGAGATGCAACGTTAAATAAAATACACCGCCCATCACATTTCCACCAGTATCATCGCATTCTGAAGCAGGTAACGGAGAATAATATCAACAGGAAAACATAAGTTGAGGTGTTGTGCTGACTGACTGCTCTCTTCTCCTATTGGCTGTAATTTGGCGGGTTAAAAGTCCACCAATCATAGTTAAGTAAGGGACTTCGGGAAGTATGTAATGTACGAAAATATGACACAACAAACAAGCATGCCATAGGGCCCCCTGGAACCCCTAGGAAGGTCTCTGGGGGCACTAACGTCCCTGGAAAGGTCTCTGAGGGTGTGGATGCCCCTGGGAGTGTCCTTTGAGGTGCCGCCGTCCCTGGGAGGGGCTCTGGGATGGTCCCTGGAGGCTCTGCTGCCACTGGAATGGTCCCTGTGCATTCCTCTTCTAATGAAAGGGACCCCAGGTGCACCACCGACCCTGGGAGGGACCCCTGGGGGCGCCACCGACCCTGGGAGGGTTCTCGGTGAGCTACTCCCCCTGAAACGGTCTCTGGGATGGTCCCTGGGGGCTGCGCTGCCCCTGGGTAGGTCCCTGCAGGCTCCGCTGCTCCAGTCAAGGCCCCAGGGGTGCCGTCGCTCCTGAGAAGGCACCTGAGGATGCCACTGATGTTGCAAGGGCCCCTGGGGGTACCGTCACCACTGGGGGGCACCCTAGGGGCGTCGCGGCACCTGGGAGGGTTCCTGATATGTCCACAACCCCTGAGATGTTCTCTGGGAGCCCAAGGTTTTTAGGACCCATGGGTGGAGTAGTTTATGCTCAATTTATTTCTCTGGGAGATGCAACGTTAAATAAATACACCGCCCATCACATTTCCACCAGTATCATCGCATTTTGAAGAAGGTAACGGCGAATAATATCAACAGGAAAACATAAGTTGGGGTTTTGTGCTGACCGACTGCTCTCTCCTCCTCTTGGCTGTAATTTGGCGGGTTAAAAGTCCACCAATCATAGTTAAGTAAGGGACTTCGGGAAGTATGTAATGTAAGAAAATATGACACAACAAACAGTAATGCCATAGGGCCCCCTGGGACCTCTAGGAAGGTCTCTGGGACCAATAACGTCCCTGGAAAGGTCTCTCGGGGTGTGAATGCCCCTGGGAGTGTGCTTTGAGGTGCTGCCGTCTCTGGGAGGGTCTCTGGGATGGTCCCCGAACGCTCTGCTGCCACTGGAATGGTCCCTGTGCATTCCTCTTCCAATGAGAGGGACCCCAGATGCACCACCGCCCTTGGGAGGGTCCCTGGGGGCGCCACCGACCCTGGGAGGGTTTCCAGTGCACCACTGCCCCTGGAACGGTTTCTGGGATGGTCGCTGGAGGCTGCGCTGCCCCTGGGTAGATCCCTGCAGGCTCCGCTGCTCCAGTCAGGGTCCCTGGGGTACCGTCGCTCCTAAGAATGCACCTGAGTATGCCACTGATGTTGCGAGGGCCCCTGGGGGCACCGTCGACACTGGGGGACACCCTGGGGGCGTCGCGGCACCTGGGAGGGTTCCTGATATGTCCACCACCCCTGAGATAGACGCTGGGAGCGCCAGGCCTGTAGGACCTATGGGTGCAGTAGTTTATGCTCAACTTATTACTCTGGGAGATGCAACGTTAAATAAATACACCGCCCATCACATTTCCACCAGTATAATCGCATTTTAAAGAAGGTAACGGAGAATAATATCAACAGGAAAACATAAGTTGGGGTGTTGTGCTGACTGACTGCTCTCTTTTCCTATTGGCTGTAATTTGGTGGGTTAAAAGAATATTCCACCCATCACAGTTAAGAAAGGGACTTCAGGAAGTATGAAATGTCGAAAATATGACAAAACAAACAAGCATGCCATAGGGCTCCCTGGGACCCCTAGGAAAGTCTCTAGGGGCACTAACGTCCCTAGAAGGGTCTCTAGGGGTGTGGATGCCCCTGGGAGTGTCCTTTGAGATGCCACCGCGTCTGGGAGGTTCTCTGGGATGGTCCCCGAACGCTCTGCTGCCACTGGAATGGTCCCTGTGCATTCCTCTTCCAATGAGAGGGACCCCAGGCGCACCACCGCCCCTGGAAGGGTCCCTGGGGGCGCCACCGACCCTGGGAGGGTTTCCAGTACACCACTGCCCCTGGAACGGTTTCTGGGATGGTCGCTGGAGGCTGCACTGCCCCTGGGTAGGTCCCTGCAGGCTCCGCTGCTCCAGTCAGGGTCCCTGGGGTACTGTCGCTCCTAAGAATGCACCTGAGTATGCCACTGATGTTGCGAGGTGCCCTTGGGGGCACCGTCACCACTGGGTGGCACCGTGGGGGCGTCGCGGCACCTGGGAGGGTTCCTGATATGTACACCACCCCTGAGATAGACCCTGGGAGCGCCAGGCCTGTAGGACCCATGGGTGCAGTAGTTTATGCTCAATTTATTACTCTGGGAGATGCAACGTTAAATAAAATACACCGCCCATCACATTTCCACCAGTATCATCGCATTCTGAAGCAGGTAACGGAGAATAATATCAACAGGAAAACATAAGTTGGGGTGTTGTGCTGACTGACTGCTCTCTTCTCCTATTGGCTGTAATTTGGCGGGATAAAAGTCCACCAATCATAGTTAAGTAAGGGACTTCGGGAAGTGTGTAATGTACGAAAATATGACACAACAAACAGTAATGCCATAGGGCCCCCTGGGACCCCTAGGAAGGTCTCTGGGGGCACTAACGTCCCTGGAGAGGTCTCTGAGGGTGTGGATGCCCCTGGGAGTGTCCTTTGAGGTGCCGCCGTCCCTGGGAGGGGCTCTGGGATGGTCCCTGGAGGCTCTGCTGCCACTGGAATGGTCCCTGTGCATTCCTCTTCTAATGAAAGGGACCCCAGGTGCACCACCGACCCTGGGAGGGACCCCTGGGGGCGCCACCGACCCTGGGAGGGTTCTCGGTGAGCTACTGACCCCTGAAACGGTCTGTGGGATGGTCTCTGGGGGGCTGCGCTGCCCCTGGGTAGGTCCCTGCAGGCTCCGCTGCTCCAGTCAGGGTCCCAGGGGTGCCGTCGCTCCTTGAGGATGCACCTGAGGATGCCACTGATGTTGCAAGGGCCCCTGGGGGTACCGTCACACTGGGGGGCACCCTAGGGGCGTCGCGGCACCTGGGAGGGTTCCTGATATGTCCACAACCCCTGAGATGTCCTCTGGGAGCCCAAGGTTTTTAGGACCCATGGGTTTAGTAGTTTATGCTCAATTTATTTCTCTGGGAGATGCAACGTTAAAGAAATACACCGCCCATCACATTTCCACCAGTATCATCGCATTTTGAAGAAGGTAACGGCGAATAATATCAACAGGAAAACATAAGTTGGGGTGTTGTGCTGACCGACTGCTCTCTCCTCCTGTTGGCTGTAATTTGGCGGGTTAAAAGTCCACCAATCATAGTTAAGTAAGGGACTTCGGGAAGTATGTAATGTAAGAAAATATGACACAACAAACAGTAATGGCATAGAGCCCCCTGGGACCTCTAGGAAGGTCTCTGGGACCAATAACGTCCCTGGAAAGGTCTCTCAGGGTGTGGATGCCCCTGGGAGTGTGCTTTGAGGTGCCACCATCTCTGGGAGGGTCTCTGGGATGGTCCCTGGAGGCTCTGCTGCCACTGAAATGGTCCCTGTGCATTCCTCTTCCAATGAGAGGGACCCCAGATGCACCACCGCCCCTGGGAGGGTCCCTGGGGGCGCCACCGACCCTGGGAGGGTTTCCAGTGCACCACTGCCCCTGGAACGGTTTCTGGGATGGTCGCTGGAGGCTGCGCTGCCCCTGGGTAGGTCCCTGCAGGCTCCGCTGCTCCAGTCAGGGTCCCTGGGGAGCCGTCGCTCCTAAGAATGCACCTGAGGATGCCACTGATGTTGCGAGGTGCCCTTGGGGGCACCGTCACCACTGGGTGGCGCCGTGGGGGCGTCGCGGCACCTGGGAGGGTTCCTAATATGTACACCACCCCTGAGATAGACCCTGGGAGCGCCAGGCCTGTAGGACCCATGGGTGCAGTAGTTTATGCTCAATTTATTACTCTGGGAGATGCAACGTTAAATAAAATACACCGCCCATCACATTTCCACCAGTATCATCGCATTCTGAAGCAGGTAACGGAGAATAATATCAACAAGAAAACATAAGTTGAGGTGTTGTGCTGACTGACTGCTCTCTTCTCCTATTGGCTGTAATTTGGCGGGATAAAAGATCACCAATCATAGTTAAGTAAGGGACTTCGGGAAGTATGTAATGTACGAAAATATGACACAACAAACAAGCATGCCATAGGGTCCCCTGGGACCCCTAGGAAGGTCTCTGGGGGCACTAACGTCCCTGAAAAGGTCTCTGGAGGTGTGGATGCACCTGGGAGTGTCCTTTGAGCTGGCGCCATCTCCGGGATGGTCCCTGGAGGCTCTGCTGCCCCTGCAATGGTCCCTTGGCACTCCTCTTCCAATGGGAGTGACTCTAGGTGCACCACCGCCCTTGGGAGGGTCCCTGGGGGCGCCACCGAACCTGGGAGAGTTTCCAGTGCACCACTGCTCCAGGAACGGTTTCTGGGATGGTCCCTGGGGACTGTCCTGCCCCTGGGAAGGTCCCTACAGGCTCCACTGCTCCAGTCAGGGTCCCTGGGGAGCCGTCGCTCCTAAGAATGCACCTGAGGATGCCACTGATGTTGCGAGGTGCCCTTGGGGGCACCGTCACCACTGGGTGGCGCCGTGGGGGCGTCGCGGCACCTGGGAGGGTTCCTGATATGTACACCACCCCTGAGATAGACCCTGGGAGCGCCAGGCCTGTAGGACCCATGGGTGCAGTAGTTTATGCTCAATTTATTACTCTGGGAGATGCAACGTTAAATAAAATACACCGCCCATCACATTTCCACCAGTATCATCGCATTCTGAAGCAGGTAACGGAGAATAATATCAACAGGAAAACATAAGTTGAGGTGTTGTGCTGACTGACTGCTCTCTTCTCCTATTGGCTGTAATTTGGCGGGTTAAAAGTCCACCAATCATAGTTAAGTAAGGGACTTCGGGAAGTATGTAATGTACGAAAATATGACACAACAAACAAGCATGCCATAGGGTCCCCTGGGACCCCTAGGAAGGTCTCTGGGGGCACTAACGTCCCTGAAAAGGTCTCTGGAGGTGTGGATGCACCTGGGAGTGTCCTTTGAGGTGCCGCCATCTCCGGGATGGTCCCTGGAGGCTCTGCTGCCCCTGCAATGGTCCCTTGGCACTCCTCTTCCAATGGGAGTGACTCTAGGTGCACCACCGCCCTTGGGAGGGTCCCTGGGGGCGCCACCGAACCTGGGAGAGTTTCCAGTGCACCACTGCTCCAGGAACGGTTTCTGGGATGGTCCCTGGGGACTGTCCTGCCCCTGGGAAGGTCCCTACAGGCTCCACTGCTCCAGTCAGGGTCCCTGGGGAGCCGTCGCTCCTAAGAATGCACCTGAGGATGCCACTGATGTTGCGAGGTGCCCTTGGGGGCACCGTCACCACTGGGTGGCGCCGTGGGGGCGTCGCGGCACCTGGGAGGGTTCCTGATATGTACACCACCCCTGAGATAGACCCTGGGAGCGCCAGGCCTGTAGGACCCATGGGTGCAGTAGTTTATGCTCAATTTATTACTCTGGGAGATGCAACGTTAAATAAAATACACCGCCCATCACATTTCCACCAGTATCATCGCATTCTGAAGCAGGTAACGGAGAATAATATCAACAGGAAAACATAAGTTGGGGTGTTGTGCTGACTGACTGCTCTCTTCTCCTATTGGCTGTAATTTGGCGGGTTAAAAGTCCACCAATCATAGTTAAGTAAGGGACTTCGGGAAGTATGTAATGTAAGAAAATATGACACAACAAACAGTAATGGCATAGAGCCCCCTGGGACCTCTAGGAAGGTCTCTGGGACCAATAACGTCCCTGGAAAGGTCTCTCGGGGTGTGGATGCCCCTGGGAGTGTGCTTTGAGGTGCCACCATCTCTGGGAGGGTCTCTGGGATGGTCTCTGGAGGCTCTGCTGCCACTGGAATGGTCCCTGTGCATTCCTCTTCCAATGAGAGGGACCCCAGATGCACCACCGCCCCTGGGAGGGTCCCTGGGGGCGCCACCGACCCTGGGAGGGTTTCCAGTTTACCACTGCCCCTGGAACGGTTTCTGGGATGGTCGCTGGAGGCTGCGCTGCCCCTGGGTAGGTCCCTGCAGGCTCCGCTGCTCCAGTCAGGGTCCCTGGGGTACCGTCGCTCCTAAGAATGCACCTGAGTATGCCACTGATGTTGCGAGGGCCCCTAGGGGCACCGTCAACACTGGGGGGCACCCTGGGGGCGTCGTGGCACCTGGGAGGGTTCCTGATATGTCCACCACCCCTGAGATAGTCCCTGGGAGCGCCAGGCCTGTAGGACCTATGGGTGCAGTAGTTTATGCTCAATTTATTACTCTGGGAGATGCAACGTTAAATAAATTCACCGCCCGTCACATTTCCACCAGTATCATCGCATTTTGAAGAAGGTAACGGAGAATAATATTAACAGGTAAACATAAGTTGAGGCGTTGTGCTGACTGACTGCTCTCTTCTCCTAATGCCTGTAATTTGTCGGGTTAAAAGTCCACCAATCATAGTTAAGTAAGGGACTTCGGGAAGTGTGTAATGTACGAAAATATGACACAACAAACAAGCATGCCATAGGGTCCCCTGGGACCCCTAGGAAGGTCTCTGGGGGCACTAACGTCCCTGAAAAGGTCTCTGGAGGTGTGGATGCACCTGGGAGTGTCCTTTGAGGTGCCACCATCTCCGGGATGGTCCCTGGAGGCTCTGCTGCCCCTGCAATGGTCCCTTGGCACTCCTCTTCCAATTGGAGTGACTCTAGGTGCACCACCGCCCTTGGGAGGGTCCCTGGGGGCGCCACCGAACCTGGGAGAGTTTCCAGTGCACCACCGCTCCAGGAACGGTTTCTGGGATGGTCCTTGGGGACTGTCCTGCCCCTGGGAAGGTCCTTACAGGCTCCACTGCTCCAGTCAGGGTCCCTGGGGAGCCGTCGCTCCTAAGAATGCACCTGAGGATGCCACTGATGTTGCGAGGTGCCCTTGGGGGCACCGTCACCACTGGGTGGCGCCGTGGGGGCATCGCGGCACCTGGGAGGGTTCCTGATATGTACACCACCCCTGAGATAGACCCTGGGAGCGCCAGGCCTGTAGGACCCATCACATTTACACCAGTATCATCGCATTCTGAAGCAGGTAACGGAGAATAATATCAACAGGAAAACATAAGTTGAGGTGTTGTGCTGACTGACTGCTGTCTTCTCCTATTGGCTGTAATTTGGCGGGATAAAAGTCCACCAATCATAGTTAAGTAAGGGACTTCGGGAAGTGTGTAATGTACGAAAATATGACACAACAAACAAGCATGCCATAGGGCCCCCTGGAACCCCTAGGAAGGTCTCTGGGGGCACTAACGTCCCTGGAAAGGTCTCTGAGGGTGTGGATGCCCCTGGGAGTGTCCTTTGAGGTGCCGCCGTCCCTGGGAGGGGCTCTGGGATGGTCCCTGGAGGCTCTGCTGCCACTGGAATGGTCCCTGTGCATTCCTCTTCTAATGAAAGGGACCCCAGGTGCACCACCGACCCTGGGAGGGACCCCTGGGGGCGCCACCGACCCTGGGAGGGTTCTCGGTGAGCTACTGACCCCTGAAACGGTCTGTGGGATGGTCTCTGGGGGCTGCGCTGCCCCTGGGTAGGTCCCTGCAGGCTCCGCTGCTCCAGTCAGGGTCCCAGGGGTGCCGTCGCTCTTGAGGATGCACCTGAGGATGCCACTGTTGTTGCAAGGGCCCCTGGGGGTACCGTCACCACTGGGGGGCACCCTAGGGGCGTCGCGGCACCTGGGAGGGTTCCTGATATGTCCACAACCCCTGAGATGTCCTCTGGGAGCCCAAGGTTTTTAGGACCCATGGGTTTAGTAGTTTATGCTCAATTTATTTCTCTGGGAGATGCAACGTAAAATAAATACACCGCCCATCACATTTCCACCAGTATCATCGCATTTTGAAGAAGGTAACGGCGAATAATATCAACAGGAAAACATAAGTTGGGGTGTTGTGCTGACCGACTGCTCTCTCCTCCTGTTGGCTGTAATTTGGCGGGTTAAAAGTCCACCAATCATAGTTAAGTAAGGGACTTCGGGAAGTATGTACTGTAAGAAAATATGACACAACAAACAGTAATGCCATAGAGCCCCCTGAGACCTCTAGGAAGGTCTCTGGGACCAATAACGTCCCTGGAAAGGTCTCTCGGGGTGTGGATGCCCCTGGGAGTGAGCTTTGAGGTGCCACCATCTCTGGGAGGGTCTCTGGGATGGTCCCTGGAGGCTCTGCTGCCACTGGAATGGTCCCTGTGCATTCCTCTTCCAATGAGAGGGACCCCAGATGCACCACCGCCCCTGAGAGGGTCCCTGGGGGCGCCACCGACCCTGGGAGGGTTTCCAGTGCACCACTGCCCCTGGAACGGTTTCTGGGATGGTCGCTGGAGGCTGCGCTGCCCCTGGGTAGGTCCCTGCAGGCTCCGCTGCTCCAGTCAGGGTCCCTGGGGAGCCGTCGCTCCTAAGAATGCACCTGAGGATGCCACTGATGTTGCGAGGTGCCCTTGGGGGCACCGTCACCACTGGGTGGCGCCGTGGGGGCGTCGCGGCACCTGGGAGGGTTCCTGATATGTACACCACCCCTGAGATAGACCCTGGGAGCGCCAGGCCTGTAGGACCCATGGGTGCAGTAGTTTATGCTCAATTTATTACTCTGGGAGATGCAACGTTAAATAAAATACACCGCCCATCACATTTCCACCAGTATCATCGCATTCTGAAGCAGGTAACGGAGAATAATATCAACAGGAAAACATAAGTTGAGGTGTTGTGCTGACTGACTGCTCTCTTCTCCTATTGGCTGTAATTTGGCGGGTTAAAAGTCCACCAATCATAGTTAAGTAAGGGACTTCGGGAAGTATGTAATGTACGAAAATATGACACAACAAACAAGCATGCCAAAGGGTCCCCTGGGACCCCTAGGAAGGTCTCTGGGGGCACTAACGTCCCTGAAAAGGTCTCTGGAGGTGTGGATGCACCTGGGAGTGTCCTTTGAGGTGCCGCCATCTCCGGGATGGTCCCTGGAGGCTCTGCTGCCCCTGCAATGGTCCCTTGGCACTCCTCTTCCAATGGGAGTGACTCTAGGTGCACCACCGCCCTTGGGAGGGTCCCTGGGGGCGCCACCGAACATGGGAGAGTTTCCAGTGCACCACTGCTCCAGGAACGGTTTCTGGGATGGTCCCTGGGGACTGTCCTGCCCCTGGGAAGGTCCCTACAGGCTCCACTGCTCCAGTCAGGGTCCCTGGGGAGCCGTCGCTCCTAAGAATGCACCTGAGGATGCCACTGATGTTGCGAGGTGCCCTTGGGGGCACCGTCACCACTGGGTGGCGCCGTGGGGGCGTCGCGGCACCTGGGAGGGTTCCTAATATGTACACCACCCCTGAGATAGACCCTGGGAGCGCCAGGCCTGTAGGACCCATGGGTGCAGTAGTTTATGCTCAATTTATTACTCTGGGAGATGCAACGTTAAATAAAATACACCGCCCATCACATTTCCACCATTATCATCGCATTTTGAAGAAGTTAACGGCGAATAATATCAACAGGAAAACATAAGTTGAGGTGTTGTGCTGACTGACTGCTCTCTTCTCCTATTGGCTGTAATTTGGCGGGATAAAAGTCCACCAATCATAGTTAAGTAAGGGACTTCGGGAAGTATGTAATGTACGAAAATATGATACAACAAACAAGCATGCCATAGGGCCCCCTGGAACCCCTAGGAAGGTCTCTGGGGGCACTAACGTCCCTGGAAAGGTCTTTGAGGGTGTGGATGCCCCTGGGAGTGTCCTTTGAGGTGCCGCCGTCCCTGGGAGGGGCTCTGGGATGGTCCCTGGAGGCTTTGCTGCCACTGGAATGGTCCCTGTGCATTCCTCTTCCAATGAGAGGGACCCCAGGCGCACCACCGCCCCTGGAAGGGTCCCTGGGGGCGCCACCGACCCTGGGAGGGTTTCCAGTACATCACTGTCCCTTGAACGGCTTCTGGGATGGTCGCTGGAGGCTGCGCTGCCCCTGGGTAGGTCCCTGCACGCTCCGCTGCTCCAGTCAGGGTCCCTGGGGTACCGTCGCTCCTAAGAATGCAACTGAGTATGCCACTGATGTTGCAAGGGCCCTTGGGGGTACCGTCACCACTGGGGGGCACCCTAGAGGCGTCGCGGCACCTGGGAGGGTTCCTGATATGTCCACAACCCCTGAGATGTCCTCTGAGAGCCCAAGGTTTATAGGACCCATGGGTTTAGTAGTTTATGCTCAATTTATTTCTCTGGGAGATGCAACGTTAAATAAATACACCGCCCATCACATTTCCACCAGTATCATCGCATTTTGAAGAAGGTAACGGCGAATAATATCAACAGGAAAACATAAGTTGGGGTGTTGTGCTGACCGACTGCTCTCTCCTCCTGTTGGCTGTAATTTGGCGGGTTAAAAGTCCACCAATCATAGTTAAGTAAGGGACTTCGGGAAGTATGTAATGTAAGAAAATATGACACAACAAACAGTAATGCCATAGAGCCCCCTGGGACCTCTAGGAAGGTCTCTGGGATCAATAACGTCCCTGGAAAGGTCTCTCGGGGTGTGGATGCCCCTGGGAGTGTGCTTTGAGGTGCCACCATCTCTGGGAGGGTCTCTGGGATGGTCCCTGGAGGCTCTGCTGCCACTGGAATGGTCCCTCAGCATTCCTCTCTTCCACGAGAGGGACCTCAGATGCACCACTGCCCCCTGGGAGGGTCCCTTGGGGCGCACTGACCCTGGGAGGGGTTTCCAGTGCACCACTGCCCCTGAACGGTTTCCTGGGATGGTCGCTGATATTGCGCTGCCCTGGGTAGGTCCCTGCAGGCCCGCTGCTCCAGTCAGGTCCCCAAACGTCGCTCCTCAAGAATGCACCTGAGTATGCCACTGATGTTGCGAGGGGCCCCTAGGGGCACCGCCAACACTAGGGGGCACCCTGGGGCGTCGCGGCACCTGGGAGGGTTCCTCATATGTCCACCACCCCTGAGATAGACGCTGGGAGCGCCAGGCCTGTAGGACCTATGGGTGCAGTAGTTTATGCTCAACTTATTACTCTGGGAGATGCAACGTTAAATAAATACACCGCCCATCACATTTCCACCAGTATAATCGCATTTTAAAGAAGGTAACGGTGAATAATATCAACAGGAAAACATAAGTTGGGGTGTTGTGCTGACTGACTGCTCTCTTTTCCTATTGGCTGTAATTTGGTGGGTTAAAAGAATATTCCACCAATCACAGTTAAGAAAGGGACTTCAGGAAGTATGAAATGTCGAAAATATGACAAAACAAACAAGCATGCCATAGGGCCCCCTGGGACCCCTAGGAAAGTCTCTAGGGGCACTAACGTCCCTAGAAGGGTCTCTAGGGGTGTGGATGCCCCTGGGAGTGTCCTTTGAG